CGCACTTCATTTCATAAGCGCAAGCATGTATAGGTGAAGGAAAAGTTCTTCCTGTGACTTCATGTTTACGTTATTTTCACATTTATACTGTATAAAGCGGCAAACTAGTGTTTCTAGTGCGTGGATTAAAGTGACTGGCACTTTAATTAGTCATTGGCAATTGGATTAAACTCACTGACATGCGGCCTCATTGAGTTGGCGCTTGGATTAAACGTTTGGCACATGGATTAAATAGCTCGGCGCTCAGATTATTTCAATGACAAGCAGATTATTTAAGCTGGCACTTGGATTAAAGTGGGCGGGAAAACCTGTAGTTCAGATACTGAATTATATTCAAGCCACGCATTGAGCACTGGCCTCTACATTTTCTTCACTAGTTGCTCTTGTAAATTTGTGTTAACAATGCTATTGTAGAGAATTGGGATGGCATTAATATATAGCAATTCACTGTGCACAAAATTTACAATTTTGTGCCTTCTTCCTTACTTACTGGTTGGCCTCCAAAGCAGAGAGGATGGGCTTCCTTGAGGAGCTTGAAATCAGCCAGGTAGGCATCGGTGCTCTGCTCCTTGTGAATTAGTACTGCGAGTGGGACAGCACCAGTCTTGGTCGCAGTCAGCACTACTGTTACTGTGCATTTGGTGGTGTCGCATGAGGCAGTCGAATCAACAAAGACGATCTCCCTTGCCAGCTCGAGGTTATGAGCTCGTCACATGATGGGGGCAACCACGACCACTGCCCAGCAGGCACTGCTGCCACCACGGGTCACACTTATGTGAGTGCCTGGAAAGTTATGTGGAATGGCAGGTGGTCTTTTAAGAACAATCTTCAGGCGCATTACTTTTAATGGCCATTTTGCTCTCTGTACAGTGCAAAGTGTTCCTGCAAAGTAAGTTTTAGATCTAGCTTCACCTTGCCTTTTAAAAACGTCCTGCAGGCTTTTGTCAAGCGATCATAACATTACCTCATTGTCGGAGTTTGTTGCCTCACAAATCAATTGCAGCAAAAATATTTTGACTCCTTGAAGTACAAGTGGAGTTCAGGTTTACTGCAATCTTTTTGTACTTCATTTATTGATTCTCCACGAGCACACTGTCAGCTACACAGCAATTAATGACAAAGGGAAAGAGGCTACATCAGCGAGCATTGTTACATATTAGTATCAGATAGAGCAGGGAAGATGAGCAAAATCAAGAGAGCATGGACCCGTGCAGGTGCCCGCATTCCCTTATGAATGCGGAGCATTTCTTTGCGTACTGCATGCACTTTCGGTATCTATCTACCTGTATATTTATTATCTATCTATCTAAGCCCTGCCGCGGTGGTCTAGTGGCTAAGGTACTCGGCTGCTGTCCCACAGGGTGCGGGATCGAATCCTGGTTGCGGTGGTGGTGGCGTCTATCTATCTGTCTGTCTATCTCTATCTATCTATCTAGCCGCTTACGTCTGGGTGCTCTCGTGATAATCTCCTTAACTTGGTGGGAACCTAAATTAATATGAGAGGGTTTGATGATTATGACACGCTGGTCAGAACACAAATAACATTATATGCATTGTTAAACACTTCTTGTTAAACAGTTAAACAGTGGCACATACCTTGCCACAGCTGTTTGACACTTGGTATCTACCCAAAAACGACGAGAACACACATGGGCCATTGTAGTGCATGAACGTTAAAGGGACTCTGAAACACCTTTTTAAGTAACCATGGAATGGATTCACTAAAAGAGCTTATTGCCTCACGAATTCAACGCTGCAAAAATTTTAAGAATACGTCCAGTATGAGCGGACTCGCAAAGATTTGTCATGCTGCAATCGCATTCGCTCTGCTCTCATCCCGGCGAAAGCCCTGGGAGCTAAGCCTTTTGTCGCACGTGCCTTTTGTCATTGAAAACTTTTTCTTTTTTTTTTTTTTCGCTTTGAATACATGGTCTTTTCTGTGTGATCGCGAGCGTGCGTGGGGACAAGTTGCGGCCTCTCACGGCGATCCCTGTAAGGACCGAACGCGCCATGTTAAAATCAGCGAATGGCTCATAGATGGCCTTTGAATGATTTTTCAGCTTCCTCCGTCATTTGTTGAAACGAGAGAAAGCAATTTTTAGCTGACTTTGGTCATTTATTTATTGCAAATTCCAAGCCCCGTGCTGCACTATAATATTTGGCCCATGTGTTCTCGGGAGCCTCTTCTACCAAATGGCAACATTTTCTGGCCATGCTCAAAAAGTGTTGCAGGGCCTCTTTAAGACAAAACTGACAGCAGCAGCGTTTACTCGACAAACACAAAGAAAAATGTCAGGGTGCGAGCAGGGCCCCGCCGCGGTGGTCTAGTGGCTAAGGTACTCGGCTGCTGACTTGCACGTCGCGGAATCGAATTCTGGCTGCGGCGGCTGCATTTTCGATGCAGGCAAAAATGTTGTAGGCTAGTGTGCTCAGATTAGTGTGCACGTTAAAGAACCCCAGGTGGTTGGAATTTGCGAAGCCCTCCACTACAGCGTCTCTCATAATCATATGGTGGTTTTGGGACGTCAAACTCCACATATTAATCTATCAGGGTGTCAGCAGGAGTCGAACTCAAGCATAATGCGAGGCAATCAAGAATTCTACCACAGAGCCATGCTAGATCTCGGAACTATTTTTCAAATAGACCGTAATGTTCGTAAAACGTCAAATGTGGTTGCAGTGCTGGCTATGCAATCTCAAAAAGATTACATATTTACTCCTATGCTACAACCTTTATGTTGTGTAAACGTGCATTGTAGTTAGGTGCCATGTGCAGAAGTGGATTTATGTACCAGTGTCCAGGGCTACCATCCTTGCAAGCACAAACCCTTCATATCAGCTTATCACTTCTGGTGTTGCTAATACTCATGTTACTGATGGCACCATTGTGCAAGTGCAAACAACTGGTTATAGAAACATCTGCAACTGTTCAATATGCATCTGTTCCTGCAACATTTGTACATATATTTAGCATCATTTCATAACATGTCGCTGAATAAAAAAAATTACAACACGGCCACCTTCCCTCCGCATGCTTCACATAATGTGAAGTCCCAAAGTATATGGGATCTGCTGAATTTTTTTTTTGTTAGTTTCGCATCTGTCAAATAAGGTGTTCTCTGTTTCGGCTCTACATCTCAGTCTTCAATGGTATGGCACCAGGACCAGGATAAGATAGGTTTAAGATACCTGACCATCTTCCTGAACAGTGAGAGCAATCGGTGCCACCAAGCTAGGCGGAATGTGCTGCCATGCGAACGAACAGGAAGGAAGCGGAGCAAGCTGTTCAAAGAAACATATCAAGCCGTTCATCCAGTGATCAATATATGTCATAATTCAGTGTTCGTGCGGCTGTGTGTCTGTGGTACAGACTGGGCGGTGCATCAGTTATAGGCCTTGCAAACGTGTCAATTCATGTAAAGATTGGTGTTTGTAGTAATTTAGCCACACATTGTGCTAGGCATGGCTGCAGCATGCCTTCGTCTGTCGGATGTTACAGTCCTAAAATGCTGTTGCCAAAGGCTTGCACAGGAGATATTTGAGGCTTTTGCCATCCACCAAAGGCACTCCGCTACTTAATCTGTTTGAAAAAAAATCAATTTTATGTGACGCACATGACTGAAGATTTGTAATCTAACCATTTTTTTTTGTATCCGTGTATCCTTGATTTTGTTGATTAAAATTTCAGTTGGCAGTCAGCGCCCATTTTTGTATCGTCTTCCTTTGTTCCGTTCTTGCGCTTTACGCTTCTTTTCTTTTTTTGTTTTCTCCCAAGTTTAAATGGCCTCTCTAGATTGACCTGTGTGGCAGCCACTCTGTACAGCTCTGGTTGCTGCTGCTGTCATGCTTTCCGAAATTTCAACTCTTCCTTTAATGACATTTACAACTAATCCTTTCAAGTAACAGCCAAGAAGGACAAAATGCCTTTGACAAAGATAAATACTTACATTGAAACATAGGCTGGCCAGTATGAGGCATCTCATCTCTTTTTTTTCATGTTTTATATTTCACAATTTGTTTCCATGGGCTGACTCGAGAGCTTCATTAATGCTGGTTCCCTGTGAATTGATGCTGATGCAACGTATCAGTTGGTCTAGATTGCCAACTTATGCCTTGAATCAAAAACCTTTTAAAAATAAGTCAGTGTCACTTTCAAAGAAAAAAAATAACGTTTTTGTTATTTCTTTTATCTGGTCATGTATATGTTCTTCTTCCCCCCTTTCTTTTTCATCATTTTGGTTTTCCTATCAATCTGATCTGGTTTTCTGGTTTCGCCACTTAAAACTCCGACTACCTGTGCACCTCTTGGGCTTTAAGTTTGCCATACTCAAGGTTACTCCAAGTATTTGATGTTTCTGATTTCACAGGAACGTAAATTCATCAAAAAGTTGTGGGTTTCAAAGTAAATACATCATTTCTTACTTCCCAAGAAAATAATGGTAAATGTATGCTCTGACTGGCAGGTGCAATGTACAACCAAGCCACTGGCATGAATCACAAGTAGATGAGGCTTTGTGCTGAATGTGTCTGTAATTTGTCATAGCTACAACTTCACCATTCACACATTGAAAATGAGTGCTTATGAATACTGTTTTACGTAGAGGACAGATTCTCCCACAAGTTTAGACATACCTTGAGCTGCATACAAAGAAGCCTTTTCCTTCAGTTTCAGCACTGGGTCGATGTAAGTACCACCAAAACAAGCCTCCCTCCAAACGCTGTGCCAGTGGTAGACCGTTCTTTGAGGCGGATTTAAAGCCGCATTGGCCAGCTTTGCAGGGCCATCATCTTCCATAGAGAGCTTGCTCTCATGCAGTCTCCTTGCTTCACTAGGGGTCATGCCTTCGCTGAAGTAACGGAAGAATGTTTGCCTTGTTGACCTGGTGCGGCGAAGTAGCCGCAGAGCATCCGTTGAGTCGGTGCTGTGGCTGTGCCTGTCGTCGATTTGTATCACTGCAGAAAGAGGCACCTCTCTCTGCAGATACTTGTCCCTGCGTTTGGTGTCAAACGTGGCAAGCTTTATTTTTACATCAACTTTGGCCATGCACTTGGCATTGCGTGGGCCACTCTTCTTGTTCTTTGTGTGATGCTGGCAGCGCCAAATTTTGTGAAAAGTCATCCTGCATGACACACATGGGTGCAAATAGGGATAAGCTCTTTCATAATGCACTGCTTTGTAAAATATAATTATCTAAGTATGAATAACTAGAAGTACAAAACTATTTTCACAGTTGCACTGCTACAATAGCTATGCTTTTATCCCATTTGCAGCTGGCTGCTCGTATGTTGTATTCTGTGCAATGTATTCTGTGCAATGGCATGGCACCGTACGATTGTATGAGCACCATATGAGTGGTTGTCGCACATCTCACTGGGGCACCCCAGAGGTGCTTCAGCCGCCATGCCATCATGAAGATGATGGTAGTGTTGAACAATCGTTTGGCTCGGTGCACGCCAGGAAAGGACTCTGTCTGTACAGACTGTTGACTGAAAGCAACAAAGAATTATTGAATACTCACAATAACCTTTAACTTCACCAATTATGACACATTTTGGACTCCACAACTTAGTGAATATTTTTTTGCCTGACTTGGCAATGTGTTAAATAAGTTGTAGTTGGTATTGTTTGCGACGATCCCCTTTTCCCCTCCCGAGCCAGAAAAAAAAAAAAAAAAAAGAGGCATCTAGAATTTGTGGCAGAATTGCATAGAGACGGGCACTATATGAACGTGACATTAACATCAAGTTGGGTATTTATACCAAGAGCCTGCTACAACACATGGCAAGTTCAGCTACCACCCTTTTCAACATTGCTGGTTAGGCCAATACTTGTAGCTTTTGCAGAGCCTGCTAGGTGAAATGACACATCATGTTGCAATCTATATGCACCAAGCAAAGTTTTATGGTAGGGCACATGCTTCGGTGCTGAAGTTGCCACATTCAAGATGCTGCAGTGTGCACATGTCATTGCAGTAGTGCAAGACCGGTTGCAGCAGGCAAAGTTTCCGAACAGATGGTGGTTATACATGAATATTGTGAGCTCAAGCAAGAGCTAGGTGGCTTTTGTCAACTGCCTCTTCATTATCATTAGCTCAAGCAAATAATCTCTGTTGAGTATTCAGTTATTGAGTTAAGATGGCTTGTTGGGCAAGTTGGTATATAGTCTTGGTGGGTTGAACCCCAGCAGCATCAACAGAATGCAGAAGCAATCAAGGCAAAAAAATACAGGGACAGGAAGGACGCTAGGCTGCCAAGTGGCGTGTCTACTACACTGTTGGTATTCCCACCTAGATGTTATTGACCTGGAGAGATTTTAGGACTATGCAGCTCTTATCTGTGTTGTTCAATGAGCACTAAAATTTACAGCATTAACTTAGAGACCCTGCTACATTTTTCAAGTAGTCATCTAATGGTTATTTAAAGGAGTTCATTGTCGTACAAATCGACTGCCGCAACAATTTTCAGTGTCAAGTATGGCCAGAGTTAATGGGGTTGGTCGCGTTTTTAAGTGCTTTCTGTAATAGCGAGCGGGCTGAAAGCTACACAAGCATGTATATATATATAAAAAAAAAGGCAAGATTAGGCACACCTGTTCGCCAGCGCGCGTCGCCTTTTTTTTTTGTTTTTTCTGGGAATGCTAAGCTACTTGCAGCGCGAGCGAGCGAACATCGCCGCATTTTGTGACGTCCGCGGTAACATTGCCCATCACGGGGTGTCAAATCAGCCAGTGGCCGTCCACTTTGAGTTTATGGCACGGTTAGGTTGACGGCATCATTGGGGGGAGAGAAGAGCGAACGATTTAAAGGTGTTTAAGAATTGTAAATTCTGTTTCACGTGCTGCGCTATGTTTGGCTCACATGCCCTGAGGAGCCTAGACTACCGATTGGCAGCACAATTGAATATGATGCGCAAGTAGGCGCGTAGAGGACACGGGACAGAGCGCGTTTTTTCGCCATGGTGAAAAATGAGCAAGGTTCCTTTTGGCGTTGCATAAGTTTGTTGCCAGACTTTGGTGTGGTTGTTGCCAGACTGCCGCTAAATTTGGCGAAAAAGTTTTTTCCTGTAGTTGTGGCTTCTTCGTAAGAGTTGGTGCTATCCGTGGTGCATTTCGCGAGTCCAGGCGTACATAGCTGTAGCATATCCGACATACCCTAATTAACCAGTCTTGGAACACTTATTCATCACATGTATATACGAGTCCGAACGATATGTCTTGCTGACACAGCTAGGGGAAGCGTAGCGTCCCCCGTCGTAGCGCGCGGTCGACGCGACATGATCAGCTGAGAGGGAAAAAAAAAAAGTAAGGGGGAGGGGGGCAGCGCATCACCTCCTGCGGTTCATTCCGTAAATAAAACGAATTCTGTAATGCGCGGTTCATTCCGTTAATTAAAACGGCCTCTTAATTACACGGCAGCGCCGCGCTCGACTTCTGCTAGGCTCGGTTCATTCCGTTAATTAAAAGGGCCAGCGTCGCTCATGCACTCGCAAAATGCACCGCGGATAGCACCAAACTCTTACGGAGAAGCCACAACTACACAAGAAAATTTGTCGGTTAAATTTAGCGACAGTCTGGCAACAACCACCCTTCCAGTCTGGCAACCACTTATGCAACGCCAAAAGGAACCTTGCCGAAAAATGGTCGAGCACTCGTGTTTCGATCGCCTACCACTTTTTTTTTTTTTCGCCGAAAGACCGTGAAAACGTCTTGGCGCACGGTCAGCGTTAATTGTGCCTCTTCTGTCGAAATGTTTCAGTATGTAGCAGTTTTCACATCTCAGCGCAATTGCCGCAGCAACCTCATCACCGCAAATGGAGCTGCCGCCATGACATCAATAAAATCGCCTTGTAGCGCGGCGCAGAATTTCGAAACTATGATTTCAGCTGTAAGCCCTGTGTAAATGATCGCTCAAACGGCTGTAGTGCAGGAAATGGCATCGACAAGGCAAACCCACCTTTCCCCAGCACTCTGGACGCGCCAGACAATCCAAGAAGTGTTGGTCCGTACGCTGTACACTTCCATCCATTCATTGACGGCGTCTTCGTCGACCAAGTTTGCTCGGAACACGGACTCGTATTCAGTAGACTGCTAGTCATCTCTTACGACCTCAAGTGGCTGACGCATCTCCTCCATTGTGCCTCGATATTGTGCAACAACGCGATCGGCACTCGTACAAACTTGACGGTCACAACCACAGTCGTAGGACGAACTTCGTGGAGCGATCGCCTTCGTGACACCACGTGGACACGCCCCAGTGGTCTGACGTCACCGCCCACGGAGGAAGGTCACGCCGATTCAGCATGTACACTGTGGCCAGTGATGTTTCGTTCTACGCCGAAGAATTCGCGGTCATAGACATGAAAATTCCCTATTTCGGGAATTTTTCCCTGTTAACGTTGACTAAAGTTCCAGCATATTTCCCTGCATAACAGTACTCATTTCCGCCCTCATCTACGCAAACACTATAATTACACGTGTATGACGTACTGGCCACTTTTGAAATCATGACTAGCCCACCCGCTGCCGCACAACAAAGCCATGGCATATTCATTCATATAGTGAAAGTACACTGCACATTGCGGGCTTCAAGTCTAACACCAATAATGAACTAGAAATCACTCCGCGTATATCAAATCTCAAGGGTTCTGCTAGCGTGGTGCATGCACCTGAACCGATAACAGCAGATGAAGGCGCACTGTGACCGCTAATTATGGGTCGTCAAATGAGAATTTAACCATTCCTGAAATACCCTGCAATATTGCGAAGATTTTTTTTGGCTCAAAATGACAGGCGAATATTCCCCGATAAAACAAAATTTTCCTGCACGGAACATCACTGAGTGGCTGCGCCTGTGAGACATACTTCACCGTGCGTAACTGCTTTGAAAGGTGGTTTCACTGCCGCATAGGTTCTCTGTGCGGTGAAACCAACAACTTTGGAGATATTCGCAATGCCGTGAAGCGACCTTTCAAGACTGAGTTAGGTTATAGTGCCTGCAACCCTGTTAATTTTAAACAGCGAAGTTCATTGGACATTTGTATTTATAGTGGGATCATATCATAACATCCATCTATATTAAAACACTTGTGGGCTCTTATCGCAATAAGAACAAAAATTTATTGAGAAAACTGAGTTCATGTGTGCTACAAAAAAAATTTAAAAAATCAAGCAATGCTTTATACCGCACGGCACTAGCAATGAGGTGGCACCTCGCTTCCAATTTTCTTTGTCTATTTGAATAGAACCATCATATGCATCATTTATAAATTTGTTGTACTGTTCTTGGGTCATTTATTCTCAAATTCTATATTCTGAATTTTCTTTGTTTTGGAAATTTTGGGTATACAGTGTTTTTATTTCATAACTTGATAAGACAGATGCTTGGGCTAGTTGGTGATAGGGATTCAACATATTTTTACAGCGCAAGACTACGAGTAGTTACGATGTAACTACAGAAGAAGAGACAAGGACAGAAAGAGTGCTGACAACTGAAATTTTATTAACGAAAATGCTGGAAATATATACTCATGACGGAACACCACCGCGCAATGTATTGCATCACAGCAAGACAATCATCATCTCATTATATGGTTACAACGCCACAGCTCAGCACAAGTTCACAATCAATTGTGTCAAAGCCAGAAACTCGCTTTCTTTTTTAGTCAGAGCAAGCAAAGGCATGCTGATACATCGATCACCCAGCATTTGCATTTTATTGGCCTCCATAATCTCTCGTGTTAGCTGCTGACGGTGTTTGGCTACAACAGTGCACTTTTCGAAGTGTTGGAGGGCCCTATTAAGTTTAAAAGCTTGTTATATTGGCCAAGTAGGAAACCTTTAAACACAAATATTTCACTGTGTACAACTTGCAATGTAGTCATATTTAAATCATACATTTAATAGAAACTTGCTTCCACTTTGCTTCAACCCAAGGCAGTGTAAGTCAGAAAAACTTGTGAAGCTTGCTCAGACTCGGACTCAATAAACATTTTTGGGAGCCGTACTCACTATCACAAAAATTTGTTCAGCTGGACTCGCTCGGACTCACTGTCTTTTTCGACCACAATGTCAGTGCTTTTTAACACCGAAATTTCACGTAATTGATGCTCTTCTTGGCACCTTTTCATATGGTGCCTTCGAATACGAGTTACGAGTGCTCGTAAACCAGTAAGGTCGTTTTTCTTGAAAGAGATGACAGCGCAATATATATTCATCACCAACTTTTTTTTTTTTATTAAATGTATGTAAGGAGAGGTTATCACCAACTTCCTTTAATTGTCAATGGTTAGGGAAAGGTCGAGGCCTTCCACCATGTAATTCATGCCACTGATCAATAAATATTCAAATGGTATATAAAAGACACGGCTTTGAAATATGTGAGCATTGACGCGAGTATGAACGCTGATCTAGGTAAAGCAGATAGTAATACTGAAGACGAGTAGGTATGACCATAGCTTGGCAAACAAAAATCGAACTCAGATTCCCTCAGGAAATGTATCTTGCACTTTGGACTCGCTCCGACTCAGAAACAACAAAATTTTCCAGAGACGGACTCATTTAGACGCACACTCACAGAAATGTTAACTCATTCTGAGACTAGCATCTCGATCCGAGTTAGAATGAGTAGACTCTGAAGTCAGTTCACTAATATCTACAAGAAAGAGACATTCCTGGTATAAGAGCAAAAAAGGACACTGCTAAGAGGCGAGGAAATTACACAAGCGCATGTGATATTCGTACAAGCCTAATTCTTATTCGTTAAATTTTTAAGGTTATTGGATTATAAGAAAAATGCTTGATTTAAATGATTCAACCAAATTACTACTTTTTCAACCTCACATAACTATTTGCCCATCACTAAACCTTGCAGTTCTTGCTTCTTCTGGCTGTTTTGGACAGGTGCGTGGAAGAAGTTGTGGCTGAAAATCACATGCATGTTTTCTGACAGGGCGAACTGTTGGAGGCCTATATTTTTCAATCATGTTGAATGGTAGAACTGAAGATTACCAAGCATATACAAGCTGTCTTGTCAGGTTTCATGCATATTCGGAATTTGCTGCGAGGAGGGCTCGTTATATGTAATCAATTTGCAGTATTTCTATTGCAATGAAGCTGTAATATTGTGGTACAATTTTTTTAAAGGGACTGTCTACTGCACAGAACTTTTTGCTTATTATAGTGAAAATGAGAAGATTGTTAATCTCATCAGCACCAATGAGCATGTTTTTGTATTATATAAAAGGAGTAATTTTGATGTTGAAAATCTACAAAGCAACTGCTGGCATCACCCAGCAGCTATGTGGTTCTATTTATCCACACAGAAGTGCTCGCAAGTAGGCTGATTTTGCTTAAAAACAAACATGTTTAACTTGAAATTGCATTTAATTCCCTTGAGGCAACTTTAGACTGCCCAAGAGAGTACTTTTGCTTGTTTTATCACGCGTTCAAAGAGGCACCGTGGCACTGCCGGCAAGACGGTCACGTGCTTGCCTACGGCAGAGAAAAGCGAGTGCTGCGTCTGGCGCCACTCTCAACAACAACAACAAAAAAAGTCTTTGGCAAGTATTAGCACAACTGATTTCAGTAAATTTTCAAACCTTGCCCGTGGGTCCAGTGTCATCTAGTAATGTTGCGCGAGCGTTTCTGCTTAAAGTGCACAACAGTACTTACCAAAGTTCTAACATTAGGGAACATTTTGCCATCACGTTTCGCTTAATCATGTTGCCCATGCTGGCTCTCATCCCATATGCAATGCAGAACACCTAAACACAACTGCAAGACAGCGGGGACATTCTGCTGTTTTGTGAAGGACATTTCATGTTTGTTTTAGTTGCATGCACACTTGGCAGGAGTAAAACCACTACAGTTCGTTTCACAATGCTGGCATACCAGTGTTGCTGGAACAAACTCTTCCCCTCAACTGTGGTGGTTTTTGAGGCTAACTAAACAAAGCTGGAGAAACTTCGGTAATACATTATCTGACAATTTCCATGCTTTATACGACCAGAACGGTGTATGTAGTATGATTGGTGAAGGCCTTGCAAAAACTGCACACGGTTTCAGTTTTAGGCTTTCACACCACTGGGATCACGTCCACCAGCCATCGTTCCGGGCGTTCATCACTCCGATGGAAGAAGACTGAACGCAGAATAAAAAATTTTTTTCCGAGGATTTCTACACACTCGCCAAAGAAGCCGTTGGAATCTTGGACACTTCAGACGTATGCTTTTTATTGCGATACAAAACAGCAAAGCAGTGGAGGACTATCATAGTCACTTGAAAGTGAAAGACTGACTTGGGGTGCTGCCTTGCATTCTGGCCTTCAGAGCTTGCATTTGAATGACTAAATTACTTATGAGCCCAGACTCGGAGAGGACACTGCACTTGTTTGCGTTTGTTTCATCATGAACCTTTACCAACACGCCCAACTGGCAGTCATCCTACATACTTATGAGCGCTAAATAAAGCTAGAATAGATTTATCGTCATTGTACTCTACCCACCGGAAGCTTCAGATGGTCTCGTCTAGCCTCTCGATGCCCGTGGGGTGTGTGAAAAATGATGCAAACAGACAGTTTTTATTTCACTTGTGTATTTGCTTACTTGTAAATAATAAAATCACCAATGTTCATTTTCATGAGTTTGGTACAAGAAGGACATAATAGTAACACGCCGTTAATACAAAATAATTGAACTCTCTTTTTTTTTTTTTGCAAATAGTGCTTTCATTCTTATTGAGCCACCTTTGCTGCTTTTCAGCGCACAAGCTCCACCATCCATTGCCGCGCACCCCCACAAGATAGTCCTACATGCCCATGAAGCATAGAAAAATGTGAGCCATGTTAACTCAATACTGTGTGCCCACAGTTGACATGCATCTCCATGTGCAGTACCCTATAGGTGTGCTGCTTGCCGAAAATATATCTGGTAAGCTTAGTGATCAAAATATGTCATTGACAATGCATTTCTCATGGTGTTGTATGCATTATGTTTTGGGGTCCTCTTTATTGTGCTGCTTGTGTGCTTCTCTGTGTGTTCAATTTCCTGCCTTCTTTTTGACTTGTACTATAGTTCTGATACATCTAGTATTGCTGACTGTTTCCATTTCCTCATATTTCCTTGCAAAGTTCTGAGAAACTAGAATAAAAATTGACTTGAAAGCAGGTCACAGAACTCGATACTTAAA